GAATCACCGCCTGCTCAGGACTCTCATCCCTGTGGCAACAGCTGTAAGAGCCGCAGCTGTGGCAACAGTTGAGACTTGCTGTCTTCGCTGCTTGGCATCATACTAAGCCTGCATCAACTTACTAGCTGTCACGGTAACCTTACTATTCTCTACTTCCCCAGTGAGGAGGCTGAGGCACAGAGAGTCTGAGTGAGTTGCCCACGATCCCACAGCCAAGGGACTTTGGGAAGGTCACAGGTGTGAAGGCACAGTAAGTACAAGCCAAGAAAAAGCTTACACAGGTATGAGGCCAAACTCCCTGACTGTGGGCTGGAAAGACAGATGGCTCAGCAGTCAAGAGCACTGGCTGCTCTTGCAGAGGACCTGGGTTCAGATCCCAGCACCCACATGACCACTTACAACTGCCCATAAGTCCAGCTCCTGAGCATCTGACATTCTTTCTGGCCTCTGTGGGCACTGGCATACAGATGGTGTATACTCACACAAACATACACATAAATTAAGAAAATAAAAAGTCATTGACTGGCTTTAACTTATACTAAAAACATTGGTTCCTCTGCGTATCCCTGGCTGTCCTAGAACTCACTCTGTGGACCAGGCTGGCCTCGAACTCAGAGATCCGCCTGCCTCTGACTCCTGAGTGCTGGGATTAAAGATGTGCTACACCATGATTGATCTCAAATTTGAAATGTTTGTTTTTTGAAACAGGGTTTCTCTGTGTAGCCCTGCCTGGCCTGACAAATATGAATTTCTAATCTCACCATGCTAACTAAACTCTTTCCATCTTGCCTGCTAGCTGTAATGGAATGCATCATTTGTTACTAAATTAAAAGGAAAAAAGAAGGTGCATATAATTTCACATCCAAACTGACATGTCATAAAAGCTTTTCACTGCCCAATGCTTCAGCTATCAATGTAGGGGGCGGGGCCTGCCGGTGAAGATGCTAAACACCAGGGTGAGGCATGGCAGACCAGCAGGCTTGAGGCTGGGCAGGGACTAGAGCCAGAGGCTCAGGCTCCTGCAGCCTAGGGCCAGAGACCCTGAATGACCAAGGAGTTTCTGAGTCACTGCAGCCACTTTCAGGGATCTGAAGGGTCACATATCATTGACATATCCAGACAACCCTGTCTGCAGTCATGCTTTGAAGGCCTTGAAGATACAGAAAGGAGGAAGCTGCGAATGAGTAGGAACTTGAGGTGAGAAGTAGCCTTATTCCTTCCTGTACTGCTCCCACTGACTCCCTCCCAGCCTTCCAAGGAACCAACGGAAGAGGCAGAGAAACAAACAGAATTTTAACCCATTGTGGGGAGAGAGATCCACTTCAGTAATGCACAGCCTGTCCAATCAGAGCCGTGAAGGCCAGCTTGGCGCCCACAGCATCCCTGACTTGCCCACCTCTTCCCTCCCTCATTCCTGCTTGTCTATAGAGTGTAATCCACCTCCTTCTCTCTCCAGCCTCAAGCATATAGTCCGCTCAGCAGGGACAATCCAGGAAACCAGGTCTACAGGGCTACCTGTTCCCCCATATGGTCTGAGATAAACCTCAAAGCAAACTCTGCCAGAGGCTTTGAAGGCAATGTGCCCAATGTTTAAAAGTTCGAGACCAGTCTGGGCTAGAAATCGAGATCCTGCCTCAAACAAATTGAAACAGGGACCATGCTCCTCACCCTGCCCTCTTAGCTAACCACTGGCTCCTCTTTAAAGGGCTCCCTAACAGAAGCACTTGGGCAACTCCCACCTTGGCCTTCCCACAGCTCTGCCTCCCACAGCTCTGCACAACCTCTCAGGGCAGAGGGTGAGTGAGATCCTAGACTCCTCTCCTCACCCTCACTTCCTGTGGGATCATCCATCTCTCCTTTCCAGGTTGGAATTAGCATTTTTATCTCAGTAACTGCCATCTCTCAACTATTTACAGCCACCAGGATAAAAAGAGGCAACATAAAAATAGTCCCTCTGCAGCTTTCAGGATGGGGTGGGTGTGGGGGCACGGCAGAATCTTCTAATTTTCTTTTGCTCCCTTTCCAAAAGGGAGATGTATGCTAGAATATAGTTCATCTACAGGCCTCCCCAGCAGCTCAGAGACTCCCTCCCACAGGGGGCAGGTCCCAGCAACCCTGGGCTCCCCAGAGTACAGCTTCTGTTCCCAGACCCCCAAACAAGGGGCCAGGCACCCTGTCCTGTTCCTGTCACACCCAGGGACTCCTTCCTGCCTTCTGAAATACAAGCTAGTCCAAACAAACAAAACCAAACCAAACTTTGGCGTTTCTCTGCACTTAAGATGTTTGATAATTGAAAATAAGAAAATCAGCTAGGCATGGTGATGTCCACGTGCAGAAGGCAGAGACACGAAGATCAAGAGATCAAGGCCAGACTGGGCTACATAATGAAACCCTGTCTCCCAGAAAACAGGAAGAAAGAGAAGCCCTTACACCAGAAACAACACAAATGTCCATCACTAGATGGTCCGCTCAGGCCATGGAATATCATTCAGCCATAAAAAGGGATGAAGCACAGAAGCTACGACGCCAAACACAAAAGACCATCTATTACACATGGTGCAACTCACAGGAGACATCCTGTGCGAAACAGCGCGCTAATCCTAGAGAACGCAAAGGTGTGGGCGCCTGAGGCTGGAGGGAGGGATACTGGGAACCCGGAGTGACTGTTTATTAGGTACACGATTTCCTTTTGAGGTGATGAAAATGCCCGGAAGCTAGAGAGAGGGAGAAGATACACAACATTTTTTTTAAGGGTTGGGGGATGGGTTTTGATGGCAGGGGGCTTGCTAGGTATACCAGGCAAGCACGCTACCGACAGCCAATTTTAGAGAAGCCAGTTTTAAAGGAGAGACCTCTATGTCCCTCAACTTCGAGGAGGAAGCGCGGGCGAGACTGCAGCCTGTACTGCAGCCTGAGCGCCGCCTGCATGCAGCCGCCCTAGGACTCTGCAGGCCTAGTCCAAGGACTCTTCACTCAAAGGAGGCATAGCTCCTATGTCCAAATCCCCAGGACGGCGGGAAGAAGTGAGACGTACAGGGCCCTAGAGCCACCACAAGGAGGCATGTCAAGGAAAACAAGTCTTGGGTGATCTTGGAGCAGCTGCCAATCTGAGCCCTCCATGGGAGGGGTTCCTGGTGAGGCCAGGGTGACTGGTGGCCCATGTTAAAGTCCGGGCAGGAACACCTTGGACATAAATTTGGCCCACCCCACCCAGAGAGAGCAGCCCTAGCCCCTGTCTACATCAATCTGCAAAGTCCCTAGTGGGGCTGGTTCTGTCCTATGCCCTCTACCTGCTTCCTCCACTTTTCAGCCCATCTTCGGAGGGTTGGCAGGAAGCCTCTGGGGTTCACGCCCATCAGAACAGGTTCCTCCAAAACAGCATCCTGTGGGCATTTCTCTATTTCCTCAGCACTTGAGGCTTTTGGCATTTCTCAATGTCTCGCTACTGGCATTTAGGAACATTCTTACAGGACATTTGGCATTCCCTAGCTCCTGCCCACTAAACACCAAGAGTGCTCAGTCTCATTTTGACAGACCAAAATTCACTGTCACCAGGAGGGTGGGACTGCCCTGTGACAAGGACTACATAGTTATTAGCCCACCAACAACTGAAGGGAAAGACAAGACTGACTCCTGACAGGAGAGGACCTCTGTGTCCTCATACACTGCCTAGTAAACAGGCCCCAGCTCCCCCCTCCCCCAAGAAGATGAGGGGAAGCCTTGCCTTGTGTGATCCTGGCTAAGTTAACTAAGCTCCTTGCGCCTTTCAATACTGATAAAGTGTTAGGAACCCTCAACCTCCTATTCTCAACCATAGTGACCAGGAACTCCCCACCACACAGGGTTTGGGTGAGGATTAAATGAGGTAATGCAGGCAGCAGGCAACGTAACAGTATCTACCACATAGCAAGAACTCACTAAATGTTAACGAGGGGGTGAGAGTGTGGTTGAGTGGTGGATGATGCTCTTAGCGTGCTCCAGTATACAGAAGGAGGATCCGGCAAACTGAAGCTGCTTTTGAACACCCGATGCACAATCGATTCTGACAACCGCGCACCGGTTCTGCGGGGCGGCTTGGGAACAGTGGCAGCCCCTGCCACTTCCAAAGAACAAAGGAGCTGCGGGGACGCGAGCAATCCTCCTCTCAGTCCAGTGGGGGCAGAGTTGGGAGGAGGAGTAAAACCGTTAATGCCCCCAGGGCACCTTAAGTTTCGGGAAATCAGAGGGGAAGGTAAAAGTTGCATCCAGGTTAATGAAGGCGCGGCACGACCCACCCCCAGGTCAGGAGGCTGCTTCCCTGCCCGTGGCACCTGAGATGTCCTCCACCCCCAGCTCTATCCCTCAGCAAAGTGCCACCTCTTCATCTCCAAGTGAGAGCAGCCCTGGAGGAGGCTGGCAGAGCTGTGAAAACACCCTGTTTCCCAAACTGGGCAGCCAAGGGGTGGAGAGAATCCTAGCAAAGCCCGGGTGATGCCGGAGCACCAGCCCCAGGGCTGAGCCAGAGGGACCGGGACCTGCACTCCTCTCCACGAACCGCGCTGCAGCCGTGAGGTAAATTTAGGTCAAAAGGATCAAGTCGGCCTGTAGGGTCCGGGTGGTCAGAGAGCAGACTCGGGGACCAGCCCCTAGGGCAAGGGTCGCCCCGCGCCCCGCAGCCTGCGTGGGTGGGACGCTCCCGCGCTCTCGGGTTCCGCACCTGTCAAGCGCCAGGGGTGGCCTAGGCCGTCGCCGGGACCCGGGACCGCCCCGGCCCTGCCGACCTGGGTGCGGAACTCCGGGATGGCCCCCGCCGCCCGGGCTCCAGCACCTCCCCGCTCCAGAGGCCCCGGGGGCGGGGGGCGCAGCCCTCCACGTGGCGGGGCGCCGGGCGGCGCACGTGGGGTCCCCTCGGGGCCCGCCCCTGGGCTGTGTCCGCCGGCCCCGCGCGCGTCCCGGCCCCGGAGACCCACAGGGCGGGTGGCGTCCCTCCCTCAGCCCGGTCCGCCCGGGGCCAAGCTCACCTGGGCTCCGCGCCGCCGCCTCCCGCGCTCTGCGCCCCCGGCTCGGCTCGGCTCGGCTCGGTCCGGTTCGGCTCTTCGCGGGAGGAGCCGCCCGGGCTTCGCCTCGCGCGCGGCGGCGCCTCGGGCTCCGCGCGCTGATTGGCCAAGGACGCGGCGTGGGGCGCGCGTGCCCGCCGCGGACGCGGACGCGCGCCGGGTCCCGCGGAGACCTAGGCAGCGGCGGGGCGGAGGCGCGCCGGAGGGGCGGGGGAGGGCGCGAGGGGATGCGGCCGGCGGCAGGAAGCGAGGCCGCGCCCGCCGGGGACGCGCAGGCCGCAAGTTTGGGAGTGGGCCTCGGGTCCCGCCAGCTGCTCCACGCTGCTTTGTTTGTGAGCGTGGGGAAGTTCGCCCAACGGCGGCGGGGAAACCCAGGAGCCGGTCTGGCTGTTCCCTCCTTGCATTTCGGGGCGACGCCCATTCTGGTGAAGCCCTTTCCGCAGCCGCCTCCCCGCTGACCACTGCTGCGGGCTCGCCCTAAAACGCACTACTCTGAACGGCCCAGTGAAGTTCTAGGTCTCCCACAAGGCCGGCCGACACCCTTCCCCATTTTGACGTTTTACTTTGCTGGAGCTTTAGAGGTCCTTTAGGCTACACGTTGGGTAACGACGGAGGAGGAAAAAGGCATTTATTTCAAGGTCTCGCTGACCCGGTGACCTTGGAGGTGGGGGGGTCGGGGAACTCAAACTTGGATGTTCACCAGTGGCTGTCAACCCGTCCCTACCGGCAGCCAAAGGGGAATCAGAACCGATACTTCAAGTTCACCAAAGATTCAAAGCTCTTTGTGAGCTTTCCACAAAGCTAGGTCGATTTCCAGCCCTTTTTAGCCAATTATCCCCATGTTCCTAGGCTACTCAGCACTCACAAATTCAAGGACCGGACAAGTAAACTCAGTGAGCACTCTGCTTGGATAGCCACGCCTGCGGACCGCTCAACGCGCTTGCATTCAGTTGTTGGTAATAGCAAACTGAGCAAGAAGTGGTGGAATACTACACAATAGTGAAAAGGACCGTGTTAGATTTATTTGTACCCGCAGGAAAAGAGCACAAACACACGTAGAGTAAGAGAGCAAGCTGCAGAACACAGCATCACGCGCAGCGTGTGTGTATTTTCAAGCCCCACTCTTGGGCGACTTCCCGGGGAGACGTGAACAAAGGTCTATCCACCCAAAATAGGGCGCCAACAAGACGTCAGAGCGCGATTCCGTCCAAGCCCAGCCTGGTGAACCAGTGAGCTCATTGGACTCACTCACCTCCAGCATGGGTGCTGACCTGCCAAATGCTGCCTAGGTGGAGCGCCTCCTTCCTTGACCTTCCCCTCCTGTATAGTCTAGCATCCCCCAGGGCCATGGGCTTGCTGTTGGAGGTTGCCACCGAAAAGGGTAATCTCAGGCCAAGGTCTAATGAGTCTCTCTCTACTCGCTCCCCGAAGAACTGACAATAGCCTCGCCCCTGTGATGGGTTTGGTGCAGAGGCAAGCGCAGCTGCTATGATTTCAAGAGGGCAGCAGCATGTTCCGTGAGCCCCACACGGCGTATGCGTACGGACACATGCTAATGCAAAAAGATATAAAAGTCAAAGAGAATCGGTTCATGTTAGGTTCATGACAGTCTGACACCAACAAGGGAGCAGGCAGCTAGAAGGGTAGAGTGCTCTCCTGGCATGTGGGAGGTGCTAGCATGGTATAAAAGTAAAAGAAGGGGGATGGGGAGAGATGGCTCAACAGTTAAGAGCACCAGCTGCTCTTGAGAGGACCTAGGTTCGATTCCCAGCACCCACATGATGTGTCCCGACCCTCTGGAGCTCCAGTGCCAGGGGATCTGACACCCTCTTCTGGCCTTCCCAGGCAGTGCATGAATGTGGTAAACACACATTCAGGTAAAACACCCACACACATGAAATAAAAAATAAAGGAAGGTGGGTCAGGCATGTTGGCACATACACCTTTAACCCCTGCCCTTGGGAGGCAGAAACGGGGGGGATCTCCATGAGTTCAAGGCCAAGCTGATCTACATAGGGAGTTCCAGGACTATATAGACTCTGTTTCAAAAAGATAAAACAATAGTAATAAAGGAAGGAAGGAAGGAAGGAAGGAAGGAAGGAAGGAAGGAAGGAAGGA